ATAGGAAGAGATACATGAGCTACTACTAAGTTTTGCTGAAGCTGGTGCTACTGTTGTGAGGCTTAAAGGTGGAGATCCTTTGGTAAGTATGATAATTCTGGATTCTTTATGATACTCTCTTTGATTCTTTTTCTTGTTTGGCTTCAACTTTTGATTTTGGTGTTTTCAGGTTTTTGGACGAGGCGGCGAAGAAATGGACTTTCTGCAACAGCAAGGGATTAGAGTTCAAGTTATCCCAGGTAAATGTCGTTATGCAACCGGTTTTCAATTTCGGATATAAGTGATTTGAGTTGCGATTCTCTGGCATATAGCTGTTTTTGATCAATGTGGGTATTTTGGATTCTTTGGGAACTTGTAAGATTGTGGCGACTGAACTATTGCGATCTATGATTACGAATGTAGGGATTACTGCAGCGTCAGGGATAGCAGCAGAGCTGGGGATACCGTTAACACATCGAGGTGTTGCAACTAGTGTGAGGTTTCTCACTGGTCATTCTAGGAAAGGAGGGACCGATCCTTTGTTTGTTGCGGAGAATGCAGCTGACCCGGATACAACACTTGTTGTTTATATGGGTTTAGGAACATTACCTTCTCTTGCACAGAAACTCATGGACCACGGTCTTCCTTGTGATACACCAGCTGTTGCGGTTGAACGTGGAACCACTCCTCTACAGCGTACCGTAAGTAACCAAACCATTTACTCTTTCTCCGAGAATTTTCGAGCGTGTGATTTTCTAAATGTTTTGTTGGGGTGATGTGTAGGTTTTCGCCGAGCTGAAAGATTTCGCAAGTGAGATTCAGTCAGCTGGTTTGATTTCACCAACGCTCATCATAATAGGGAAAGTAGTCGAGCTCTCGCCTTTATGGCCACATTGCACGAAAGAATCCTCCTGCCTTGTAGAGACCCGTTAGATTTTTTCCTCATTCTTATTTTATGGGTAAAGTGGCTTCAATCGACATTACAATGAACTTTTTAGGAGGTATGAAGGTTGACAGATGTGACCGTGTTCGTTTTCTTCGATTGTTTTGGGATAGTGTCAATGTTGATGTAATAAACAAGCTTCATATAGAGTTAATGTTGAAGTGAAGATTATCAATCTTAGAATAGATAAGTGCTAATACATAATATTGAAATCAAAGTAGAAAAATAAACAATGATTCTTCTGGTTGTGATTAATGGTTACAAGTGACGACCACATCGATGTTGATAACCAGTTGATCAGCATTGCTACTTCTCCGGCCTTGAAATGGATTCGTCACGGTGCTTTTCTTAACCACTTTATCCGCGGCCTTGTCACGGCCATGGTTGTCCTCTTTGGAGCTGGTGAGGTCGAAATGTGAGTCAACACAACATCCCTCAGATTCGGCAAGCATAAGCAGAATGTAAAGGATGCAAAGATGTGAACAAGTTCTTCTTGTCTTTCATTGACGGCCATACATGTGTATATATACAAGACAAATAAACCCTAAACAATTTACTTGACTCCCAAGTTAACATACAACCCAACACACACAAGGCCCATGAGCCTAATACAAACCGA